CTTCTTGGTCCGTTTAGGGTTAGGGTTTAGGGCTAGGGGTTTAGGGTTTAAGGTTCAGGGTTTAGGGTTCAGGGTTTAGGGTTTAGGGTTTAGGGTTCAGGGTTTAGGGTTTAGGGTTAGGGTTTAGGGTTAGGGGTTTAGGGTTTAAGGTTTCATCAGGGTCTACGGGATTAGGGTTGGACTGATTATAAAGACATCATTACAGGGAGCCCTAAGAAGGAAGGTTTGATGCGGTCCAGGTAGGGATAGGGGTTTAGGATTTAGGGTTTACGGGGACTGTGTTGGTTTGAGTCTGTATATTTTAAGGGCTCCGTTAAAGGTTGCTTTCAGGGCTCCAAAAGCCGCTCCCCTAAGGATTCCAAAATCATGGGTTTCATACAGGCGTCCGATAACGGCTCCGACAGGATGGGCTGCTATGATGCGTTTGGGCGCCGCTTTTTTGTCAGGCTCGAGGGCTTTTCTTTGTGAATTTTCTACGTGGTTGTATGAGGTTTGATTGGGTTTCGTAGGGGTTTGTGGGGTTTATATGCGAATGCCTCCTTTGTCGAGTTCGGAGCTGAAATGCTTTAGAGGGGGTCGGGGTTTGGGGATTTTCGGGTGTAGAGTCATGAGGTTTCAGGATTTTGGGGGGTTTAGGGTTTGGGGGTGTAGGGTTGAATGAGTTGAACGGTGTTTTGCCGGGCTTGGCGGGTCTTTATTAATAGTGTTGAATGAATACAGTGTCAATAACTTTACATAGTTTGTAGTTTTGAATTCATACAGTGTGATTACAGTTTTCAAAAATAGTTTGCAATAAGGTCCTATGTTGTTTCCACAGCTTCTAAACTTAAACCCTGAGCCCTGAACCCTATTCCCCAATCTATGGGCCATTGCACGAACCCTGAGCTCGAAGCGACGGAAGCTGCGAACGTCACCTTACATTCTTACGGTTCAGGGGTCAGGGTTCCTTCTTAAGGGTCTATGCTGTTTCTGTAGAGTCTTTATAAGGGATCTAAGCGACAGGTTTGGGGTCGAAACAGCCCCTGAGCCTTAAACAACAAGCTCCTAGGGTTGAACAAAGCCTAAGCGCTGAAACTGAGGCCGAAACCACATGATCTGTCTGTCTTCACACGAGACCCATATCTATCAGGTGTCGGTGTAAACGTAGCGCCTGCCCTAAAGACCTAAAGAGTGCTGTTGCAGTGCACGTAGATATTTGAAACCCCAAGGGTCCAAGTACTTCTTAATCATATACTCTCCAAAATCCTAGCCTACATAACGAGGATCCTAAAACCGAGTACCTAATTGATGGGTCCTTTGGACCCTTGCGGAAACAGCTTCAGCTTCAGGTTGTCTGATTGCCTGAGCTGTCTGGCATCGGCATCTTCGCGGCAGCCACCGCAGACGTCTGCAATGAGAGAGAACTGACCACCGACAGACCTACACATCCCAAAGGTGTTCCCGCTACTAGGGCTGCTAGGGCCCCGGAGGGAAGACCTTTGGGAGAGGAGCCCCCGCCCAACCCGCACAGCCACAGTGGATTTGGGTGATTAGCACGGGTCTACCCTAAACCCTAAACCCTAAACGTTAAACCCTAAACCCTAAACCCTAGACCTTAAGCCCTAAACCCTAAACCTTAAACCCTAAACCTTAAACCCTTAACCCTAAACCCTAAGAGGTTTGGTCCTGCGAGACCCAACGCCTGAACCCTCTTAATTAAGTGCTGCATACCGGTTACTTGGAGGGTCGGGGGAATTAGTAACTGGTTATTTTAGGGACTTATAAGTATCATAACCCCAATTAGGATCGTACTTATAAGTCTACTTACTACCTACTTACTAAGTCCCCCGACGCTCCAAGTACTCGCATCGTTACACGGCTTCGTCATTGTTTTTCGGTTAGTACTGGGCTTAAGTGCAGACCTCGGTTCGTCAGATTGCGCAGGTTTCTCCTGCGTATGTGAGGGTTTTGGGAGGGTTTTACTTGGGGTGGCGAGGCCGTGTGGTATATTTTACTCACGGGTTCAGTGAGCATTTACAGGATCATGGGATATTGTAGCTGGGGTCTGGGGCTACAGATACAGGCAACTATATGTATAAATACTTATGACAGCAGTAATTAAGGTCTCTATAACTGTATTTACTAAGTCCCATTCCAAGTACTAAACCTTAAGGGCTTATTATCATACACTCTCCAAAACCCTAATCTGCATAACTACTATTCTAAAACCGAGTACCTAATTATTGGGTCCTTTGGACCCTTGGGGAAAACCCTAAACTCTCGAACCCTAAGGCCAACGTTGGGGAGAAGGGTCCCCCCGGGCCGAAGAATTTCGGACTAGTGAGATTTGAGACTCTACCTTAACCCACCAAAACCTACTTTCCTGTAGGGTTCTCATCAATTCCATATTAGGGCTGATAATAAGAACCTACAAAAAAAGATGATTTCGGTAGGTTCAGGTAAGCCCCGAACTCCCCGGAGTTTGGGGTTTAGGGTCGTGAGGGTTTTGGGTGTATGGGTCCAATCTCCTTTTGAACTCCGTGAAGATTGGCCGTGTAGGGGCTTAGAATATCAGGAACATGGAAGGATTTCATGAATTTCAGTGTTGATCTCATAAAGGTTCCCTTCAAGGTATCTGTTTGATTGAAGGCATAGTGTACAACTAATTCCCCTCCTGTGCTTGAACTACGCTTGTAAGCTGATTCTTTTGCACTTTCCTGGTCGATGTGGAGGGGGGCGGGGCGGGCCCTTGTGGCCCAATTTTCTTTTGCCGCTGCCCTGCGGCAGCATCCAACCAGCAAGATCTCATTCACATGTCGGTTAGGGTAAGGTTTAACGGATATACGGGCCTTCACTGTTACAGCAGGGCTTGGGGGAGATTATAATAAGTGGATCACGGGGGGTAGAGCTGCTATAGTTAGTCAGTCCTTCATATGAAGTGACGGTCCCTGTTTTAGGGGGTCTATGTTAGGCCTCAAGTTGTTTACCCGAAAGGCTTTAGGGTTTGTTTGCCCGAGCCTGACCCCTATGAAGCTTACTTTTCAATTCTCCTCGTTATGATTTCTGTTGAGGCCTTAAGGAGGTAGGCCATGTCAGGATTGGTTAGGCAGGATGGTTCGAACCGATACCGCTCAAACGAGGAGCATCCCTCAGAGCATTGGCGTGTAGGAGGGCCTTGTAGAGGCTGCTCAGTAAGGGTACTTGGAGGATCATGGGACTTAGTAATTAGGGTTATAAATAAGGTAACTATACGTATAACTCCAATAAGGGCACTTATAACCTTACTTACTAAGTCCCATGATCCTCCAAGTAGGGTTTAGGGTTTAGGAATGTAACCTACTTGGAGGGTCTGGGGGGACTTAGTGGGTAAGGTTAAAAATACTTTAACCATAACTACTATTTGCTTAAGAACCCCCAAAAAATAAAACATATATTCCTTATGGGGGTAATATAGGGGTTATTATTTTTTATTTTTTGTGGGTTTCTTAAGCAAATAGTAGATAATCAGAGCTATAAGTGCTTCTAGCTGCAGTCACCTGGCTCATATCCCAAGTTACTTAGCCCCATAATCCTCTACAGTAGAAGCCAGAAAGTTGGAATATGGTTTCATGGTAGGATACACTAAAAAAAAACCATAGAAGGGTTAGGATAATCATATTCCAACTTTCTGGCTTTTACCTTAAGTAGGTGTCTAGGCTTCAGAAGTTCTCAGGGTGTGGGGCTAAAGGAGACGGGTCGATGGCGTTTGCAAGCAGTGAGCATCCAACCCCACCGTAAACCCGTACCGTGACGGATGCTCTTTTGTAAAGCTTCCGACTTGAATCCGAATTCCAGTGCCAAACCCCAACTCGGAACCAGCAACCCTCTTCCCCAAGCACCCTTAACCCTAAACCCTGAACCCTAAACCCTAAGCCCTAGTCTTTGTTACCAAACAAGGTGGGAGATGACAGTTCAAGCACGCCCATCCTGTTCTAGGTCCTCCCGAGTACTCTACTCGCTTGTGGTGTGGTACTTAAAACTCCACCCCTCGGAGCCTAAAGATGATACGGTTGATGATGTAAGCCCATAAGTTCCCCATAGTAAGGAATATACCCTAATGTCCGTAGTCTAGGGTCATTTACCCTGGGCATCAAAATATGTACTGTAGCCCAACAGCCTTATAAAAGGTCTTTGCGCCCAAAAACCTTCATATAAGAGTCCTTAGATGCCTAGGGTAAGGTGATGCAGGATTCATGTCATCAGCCGTAGTTTAAAGGTTACGCAGCCTTTCAATTCTGTCCTTGTGAACTGCGCCTGCGTAGCGTTTCCGGATCTTGCAGGATGTACAGTGGGGGTTATCTGGGTTTGGGGATTTAGGGTTTAGGCTTTAGGGTTTAGGGTTTTAGGGTTTAGGGTTTTGGGTGTCAGATTTTGGGCAGAGATCATGCTGTCAAGCGGCGCTCGCATTCCCTGGTGTTGCCAGTGGACCTGCGGTGCAAACATCATGTCAAAAGGGGCGGACAGGGCGTGCTCTGTAAGGCTTCAACCCTGAGCCCAAATACTACAGCCTCGACACCCCTAACCCGCTAAACTTTAAGCCCCCACGCCCCCACGCCCTCACCCCTTCTGCCCCCCCAACCCCCACTCAGAGTTTGCTTTGGGGAGGCCTGCCAAGCCCGACATCTTGCAGCTCCCAGGCTGTTCTCCCCCAGGTTTGTTTTTGATGTCTAGGACCTAGGGTTCAGGTCCCTTATTCCCTTTTTAAGGGTTCAGGTCCCTTATAAGCCCCTTTAAACCAAAAAGGGCACCCTTTTTATTCCTAGGTTACTCTTGGGTTTAGATTAGATGTTATGAGTTTGAGGAGACATCCTTTCCTTGCTGCTTAGAACCCAATGTTCCTCTACCAAGGGATATGACTCTAGCAAACAGGTACATGTAGCATCTTTGAGTTACCTCGGTAGGGCTTAGGGCTGGAAGTCTCGGTTATGAACACATAACCCCGAACCTCCCAGACCCTGCACCGCAGCTCTGAATCGTAGCAGGCCTCTATGTCTGGGGTGGAACGCATGGGACGAACTATCCGACGGACCCGAGGGTTTTGCCATGAGCAGGTTGTTTCAGCTGTCGTCTCCTCAGGCTTTAGAGAATTGGATTCAGTAGGGTCTAGGAATTTGGGTTTGCTGTTTCGGGGAGTGTAGGATTTCGGGTTGAGGCTCGTTGTAGTATGCAGTTTCTGAGGAATGGACAGAGCAAGTTAGCATGGCCGTGGCCATCACCTTTGCAGCGGATGTCAAGTTTACGGGGCTCAGCTCCAATTGTTGGGTCCTGGAATGTCTCGGAACCGGGCCCTCCGTCGCTCTTCAGAATACTCATGACCTGCTTATCAAGTCCCCTGAACATTTTAAACTTTGGTGGCAAGTGTAGTGTTGTTATCAGGACAACACCGTTTAGTGTACAGGTATAACCACTTAGGAAGTCCGCTGATCCAAATCCCTTCAAACCTAAAGGTCTCTTAGGTACTCCCCCCAGACAGTAAGAGTCTATAATAGGGCTACTATTTAGGTCCTAATATTTCAATAATATGAATATTATTCAACTATTACTGAGTGGGGGCCGTGCCCAATCTCTATCTCTGTATCCATAGCAGCTACGGATTTTTTGAACTCTAAGCCTTGAGGCCTAAACTGGGCTTCAAGGAACATCATAGCCTTGCAGTGGCAAGCGGAGATGTTATGAACTGTGGGCTTCATGGTTCAAAGGGTTTAGGGTTTAGGGTTTGTCCAAACTGGGCCAGGACATGTACAGGTTCGACCTTTGCACGAAGCAGCTGCGATCTCAGTCGAGCCAATTTTTGAGATTTTGGAGGTTCTCTGTGTGTGTGGGTGCTTGTATGTATTTATGTGTATATATATATACATACATATATAGATATATACATATGTATCTATATATATATATATATAGAGTTTAGTGAAGACTCTGCCTATGACATCCCCACTTTACTGTCAGGTTCCGTAGTATACTTGCTTGGGCTTTGGATCGGGTTCCCTCAGCTAGACAGCAGTTGGAACGTAAACTCCGACCGTCTAGACCCAAGGCGCCTTCCCTAAACCCTAAACTCTCATACCCTTTAAGCCCTTCCGGAGACCATAATAAGCTACCAATAAACCCTACTTAAAGGATCATGGGACTTAGTAGCTAGAGTTATAATTTGGGTAACTACACTTATAACCCCAGTTAAGGTACTTATAACCTTACTTACTGAGTCCCATGATCCTTCAAGTAAACCCTAAACCCTGAACCCTTTAAACCCTAAACCCTAAAACGAAAACCCATAGATTCCCCACATACACCGAAGTACTTGGAGATCCATGGGACGTGGGAGCACAGTTACGAGCACCTTAACAGGGGTTTTATACAAGCACTTGTAAGTATAGTTACGCTTTTTATAACCTCGGTTCCTAAGTCCCATGAACCTTTAAGTAACGACAGACGAAGCCAAGAGTTTGAAAGGCTGGACTTCGAGAATGCAAACGCTCAACCCCCATGGCCCCCAAAATCTAAATCTCTCATTGCAAGAATCAAGTCTTAAACATGAACCATAAGCCCTTTTCAACACCCTCCCCCCGAACTCGCCGTCATGGAGGTAACCCAAGGTTTACTTGAAGCTTGATGCTTACAAGCAAGGGTTTTCCTTAAAGGGGTTCCTATGTAGGTACTTTAGAAACCCTATACCCTAAATGCCAGCCCTCAGCTCCATAACGGTCAGCAATAGCAGCATACATCCCCCTTTACTTTTGTAGTCGGTTGGTTAGACTCGCTGTTTGCATACCCAGAACAGGAGGGGTTCATCACTTTTGATCAGTGCTGCGTATTGGTTTCATGTGTGTCCAATTGGGATCTGGGGGGGTTGCATCGTGTTTAACTGGTGCTTCGTTGCTAGGGCTGTTTAAGGTTTGCGGTTTAGGTCTTTTGCACCTATAAACCCCTAAGCCCCTAAACCCTGAACCCCTAAACCCCTTAAAAACCCTAACCCTAAACCCTAAACCCTAAACCCTAAACCCTAAACCCCTTAAAAACCCTAACCCTAAGCCCATGCCCTGGCAAAAGCCCTAAACCCTGAACCTCGGGGGTCGCTAGCTTTCTACTGATAACACGTCAGCCGACATTTCTCCCCCAAAGGGTCCTAAGTACTGCTATGGCAGATACTACCCCAAATCATAATAGTACTTCCTAATGTAGGTACCCTACACTCTGCTACGAAGGTACTTCGGGCCCTTTGGGTCCTGCTCTAGTGCCACGGGATGCCAGGATGGTGTAACTGCTTCAGCGCTTAGGGTTTCGGGTTCAGGGTTTTGGGTTTACACTTCCGGTTTAGGGTTTGGCGTTTAGGGTTTAAGTTTAGCGTTTAGAGTTTTGGGTTTTGGGTTTTGGGTTAAGGGTTTCGGGTTTTGGGTTTCGGTTTTCGGGTTTAGGGTTTACGTTTAGGGTTTCGAGCTTGAGCAGCCGATGAGAAAGATTCTCCATTCTGACGCAGTCTCGATACACAGAAGCCTTCTAGAAGTGCTAGGCTTGAGATTTTACAGCGCAGCCTAGCCTATAGCCTATAACTCAAACCCCTAAACCCCTAAACCCCTAAACCCCTAGACCCTACACCCCTAAACCCTAAACCCTGAACTCTATATAACCCCTAAACCCTAAACTCCAAACCCCTAAACCCTAAGAGACGTCCCGAGATCCCAGGTGGGAGTACCTCATTACCACGGGGGACCTCCCTTGTGGTAGGCGATGCGAAGACAAGTCGAATCCAGAGACTCCAATGTCCCTTATTAGTGAAGGAATATACCTTAAATTGTATCCCTAAACCCTAAACCGTATCTGATTTAAGGTATATTCCTTAATTAAGCGAGATTGGAGTCTTTGGGAATCTGGGTTCCAGGGTGCAGGAGTTTAGGGTTTAGGGGTTAGTGTTTCGGGATTAGGGGTTAGGGTTTAGGAAGTTTAGGGTTTTGGGGTTCGGGGTTTAGGGCTAAGGGATGTCACGGGTTTAGGGGGTTAGCCTGAGCGTTGAGCGACTTGGGCAAAAACGGTTCAGGGCAAAGGGCTGTACCCTGAACCTTAAACAGTAACCCGCGAACCTCCCAAAGCCGATACGCCCCTTGACCAAAGTACAAACCGTTTCAGTGAAAATGGTTCCTCCGGAGAAAGCGGGAAAGCCTACTCAATCACTCAGGGAAAAAGGTATAGAGTTAACTTTCCGGTCCTCTTGCGATTAGTGATGTTTCTGATAAGCTTGATGTACTGAAAACTTGGGCCCCGAAACAGCTAAGCCCCCTGATCCACCAAGCACGACAGATGTCGGACCTAAACCCTAAACCCTCAACATCATCTTGCTTTCGGTTCAGGCTTGTCTGCTTCAGAGGTCCCTCTAGGTTCCTGAGTCGTACCCTGTTGGCCTTTGTATTCCCTTATCCAGAGGCTCCACATGTACTGCCATCATGGAAGTAGGTTCCTAAAACCATAGTAAGGGTGGCCTCATGGGACCTGATTCCATAATGGCAGTATATTTGGAGCCCCTGGGTTAACAAATTAAAGCTGAATAACAGGAAAAGGGTGTATACTCTTATTAGTTAGGGGTCAGTCACGAACCTTAGCCCGTCAAGAGTTGATAACCCTTTCAGCGCCGATTAGAGGACTAGCGCTTAGGGCCCTGTCTGTCAGGACTTAGGGCGTAGAGAGGTTAGGGAATGCAGGGTTTGATCGTTTGGAGTTTAGGGCGGGAGGGCGTCGCATATTTCCGATCCCCCGTTGTCCAAGTACCGAACCATCACATACTCTCCAGAATCCTAACCTACATAACTACTAACTATCCTAAAACTGAGTGCCTAGTTATTGGGTCCCTTTGGACCCTCAGGGAGTGTGCTTGCGGGTGATGGCCCGCCAGGCGAAGGCTCGTGCGGCCACAACATGGCGCTGCTGCCCTAAACCCTAAACCCTGAACCCTGAACCCTGAACCCTAAACCCTAAACCCTAAACCTCCCCGAAGAAAGAGCTCAACCACGAAGTCGAGCACTACTGGACCCCGCTGGGCAGGTTCTACTCACAGCCCTTCACCCTTCGGTGCTGAAGAAGCAGCAGGGCCACAGACGGCCACTAAGAGCGGTCCTGCTCAGCTCAGATGTGGCGGGCTGGTCTCCCACGAAAGACTTGGAAGAGGAAGGCCGCATGGCCTTAAAACACCCCCAAACTAGTAGGAGCGTTGATTCGCTCAGGTGCACTGATCAGAGCACCAGCTATGCGCCAGAGAATCAATTCAGCTCGAAGCCATCTTACGCAGTCCCTCCAGCACGCCCTTGGCTTGCCCCTTGCACAGAGCAAGCTTCTGAACCTCGGCAAACGAAACCCACTCCACCTGAAGCCTAACTCGGCTGCCTCCGGGCATCATGGCCCAGGTGGGGCTGGTCCAGAGTTACTACTTAAAGGATCCTGGGACTTAGTAAGTAGGGTTATAAGTAGGTTATAATTAGGATAACCCCACTTAGGGGACTTATAACCCCAGTTATAACCTACTTACTAAGTCCCATGATCCTCTAAGTAGTGTATGGGCATCAGCTGCTTCGGCCTGAGCGTTGAATGGTACCAGCTGCGCGGCGGGTACCAATCATGGGACAAAGTAAGTAAGGTTAGAAGTACCCTAATTGGAGTTATAAGTATAGTCACCTTACTTATAACCCTAGTTACTAAGTCCCATGATCCTCCAAGTGGTCGTCCATGTATCATGGAGTGATCTGGCTCAACGACATCCTGGCGCAGATCGACCATGTATTGCGGCCTCGGGAAGTGCCGGCCACGAGTCATCTTTTGGGCCCACACCTTGGTCCTGTGCACGGCCTGCAAACACTCCCGAGGGTAGGGCTTACTTCAATCAACCTTACTTTGGGTATTCGTACATGAACCACACAAACAGAGGCTACAGTAGGTTCTGTAGGGTCCAGACAGGCAGGCATCAAAGGCTGTGCAGCCCCACTATGACTGGACACTTACATGCATTTACGATTTTGGTTCATTTGGAGCCTTGAGGCTACAGGTTTAGGGACGCTTGGGGTTTGGAAGTGATGATGACGGGGTTTGCCGCGGAGCTGCACGAATCATGATCTCGCCGCTTCTGCGACCCCACCCCCAGATCCATTCCCAAGTGTTCGATAGTGGGTGGGGGTTTGGGGTTTAGGTAGGAACTCTTATGATTTGGGTAAGTATCTGCCCCACGTAGGTATTTCTGTGGTAGGAATTGCTATGACGGATTTGGTAAGCATCCCCCATATAGGTGTTTCAGATGCCGACATGCAGTCAAAGCTGCCTTGGCCAATTCTCCAGTTCGCTTCGATTGTACCAAACGGTTCCACTTAAAACCCATCCAACATCTGTACATAAGGGGCCTTAATAATGACCTGTGCTATCTTGGGGGTTCCTTATTGTTGTAGTCATAGTATAATATACCTCAACATCCTATTCTAATTACTCAGGCCCCTAGTTACGTTAGAGTAGGGGGAAAAGCTTCTCTAGCCAATAAGTCCCAATCATGATGAAGACCCGCAGGCCCTACACCCGTACACCCTCGCGTAAGCCCCCTCCAAACACTGAGCCCTGTCGAGAGCCTGCGTCGCAGGTATCGCCACCAGGCCATGGTCAAGGACGACTTGATGCGCCTTGTTGCCACAACGGTTCATCGATTTTAGCAACTCCCTTAGACCGACCCGAAAGCCGAAATCCCTAAACCCTCCACCCTTCAGCCCAAAGCCTAGACCCTAAACCCTAAAGCTTTTTTGGAGAAAGAGTCATTGCACTTTGAACTGAAAAAAAGCCCTGAAGTTTTAAACCTCTCAGTGCTGTGATTGTTTAAAGGTTTTTGGGGGTTCAGAATTTGCGGAGGGTCTAGGGTCCAGGTGTCGTCACAGTCTTCACAGTCTTCTGATGCTAGGATTGTGTATTTAATAGAGGGGCTTTCATAATTAGCTCTACTATTTTGGGGCTCCTTATCAGAATTATAGTATAGTGGCTCCAAGGTCCCTACATTAATTGTGGAAGGCTGCAAGTGTTATCACTAGTGCTATGAGCCTTTCATCTACGTTTTGCAGAAGTTCTTCTTGGCATGTGTCCCGGCGCAGCACACACTCAAGAAGGGACAGCAGCAACAGTAAGTATCATTATATAGCAAGGACTTCAATGATACTTGCAATAGTACAACTAGTAGAAGTCATACGAACACTAGCAGCAAGCTATCATGATTTGGCGGCTTCAACAGCAAGAAAATCGGGCCGTGTTGTCAGGTCCCCTCAGCTGTGCTGCTACGCCGATGCCGTGCAGCTGGGGCCTCTGGCAGCCCATGCCGTGAGATCTCGATTCTCGAGGACCCCGACAAGGACGTTGCAAAAAACAGGCGCTTGCAATCGTCCCGCAACGGCTCGAAAGCTGGAGTGGGGTGGACAATTTCCGGCCCGGAGGACTGGTGGTCCTGGCTGCATGAAGGGAACAGATCTGCCTTGTCGGCTGCGATGGCCGGAGGTACTTCCTCGGTCGTGCTTTGACGCATGCGAGCCTGTGCCAATTGCGCGGATCCGCTTTGGCACAGTCCTCGCAGCCTCGAGTGCCGGCTGAAGCTGCGGCGTTCATGGGTTAATTAGGACTGCATCATTCATTAATTCGGACAGTGGCGGTGGTTTTCCACGGCTCGGGGGAGTTAAGGTCTAGGCGTTGACTTGAGAAATTGAGGACCTAGGGTTTAGGCTTTCCGGGTTCAGAGTTTTGGGTCTATCCATAGGCCCCAAAGCAGTTCCTTTTTGGGATTGCCTTATAGGATTCTAAATATGAACCCCCAAAAGTTCCAAAAGGAACTACTCTGGGGCGTTAGGGTACACTTTCAACCCTAAACCCTAGACCCTAAACCCTAAACCTAAACCCCAAAAGGAACTACTTTGGGGCCGTAGGGTAGCCTAAACCCTAAACCCTAAACCTCTAGCCTCCCGAAGCCTCTCGGGTCTCGGGTTCGGGATGCAGGAGAGCTCGAAACCCTACCCTAAGGGTCCATGTACTCATATAGTATATACATTGGCCTTAAAGTACTCCCTACAGTATATAGGTACATTGGGCCCAGAGTATATGCTATACGGGTACATGGACCCGTAGGGCTACACTACAACACAAACCTGCGACGCTGAACCCAACTCCTAGTAGCAAATAGCCGAAGTCACGTAGAACTGCAACGCAGCAACAGCAGCAGCAACAGCAGCAACAGCAACAGTAACAACAACCAGAAGCGGCAGCAACAACAAAGCCATCACCAACACCAACACCACCATCACCAACAACACCACCACCGCCGCAACCACCACCGCCGCCACCACCACCACCACCACCACCGCCACCGCCACCGCCACCGCACCGCCACCGCCATCACCACCACTAACGACAACAACGACAACGGCCTCAATCAAAGGCAGCGGCAGGAACAGCAGCAGCAACGACCTTTAACTCGACCTGAGAGCCCGAAAGCCTGCAGCCTACATCCTACTTGGAGGGTCATGGGACTTAGTAACTGGTTATGTTAGGGACTTACACGTACCATAACCTCAATTAGGGTCCCGTTTAGGGTACTTATAAGTCTACTTACTACCTACTTACTAAGTCCCCCGACCCTCCAAGTAAGCTCTTCAACCGTGAACGGCATGGTTTGGCCTAGTAAAGTTAGTACAACTTAGCATAGTGTTGTGTAGTAGAGTGCAGTATAGAATAGTATGTTACTACGGTACACTATATCATTGCAATCGCAAATTTTAGCAAATTGATAGTCTGCTATAGTATATCATCATGCAAGATCGCATTTTATGGTATACTAAGGTAGGCTATAGTATGGAACCAGTCAGCAGAATTGAAAAACTGAACTTTTTAAAGAGACCTGAGCCAAGGTACATTGTGGGCGGGTCAGGCCAGGCGGACAGTCCCAGAGAGCCCAATACCCCTTAATTATCGAATATAGCTTACATAGTAAGGGGATTAGTATTATGATTTAAGGTATATTCCTTAATTAAGGGGCATTGGGCTCTCTGGGGTGATGTTCATGCAGAGCGGAACACTTAGGGTCTAGGGTTCAGGGTTAAGGGTTTAATTAGGGCTTGGGCTCTGAGGTTTAGGTTTTAGGGTCTGGGTCAAGGGCTTAAGGTTATAGGGCTTTTCAGAGTTGTCGAAGTTGTTGTCAATCGGGTTTTTGAGTTGTTACAGGTTCTTTTGAGCTGTTAGAGGTTTTGCTGTACATTAGGCTAGTAGTATGAGGTCTGTGAGGTCCTTTTGGGTGGGACATGAAGGATCTTATTCCTCGGGGGTTCATACTCGGATTCCCTGTCTTCTGAAAGTCCCACTACAAGGTGGAGCTTGGAGGGTCGGGGGACTTAGTAACTGGTTATTTTGGGGGATTTGTAAGTACCATAACCCCAATTAGGGTCCCTTTTAGGGTACTTATAAGTCTACTTACTAAGTCCCCCGACCCGCCAAGAGGGTGTTGCTCGGTTCAGGTTTTCAGGTTCGGCCGAAGGGGCTTGCCCTCAGGGCCCAAAGGACCCAATGATTAGGTATTCGGTTATAGGATAGTAGTTATGTAGGTTAGGATCGGTTAGTATTTTGGAGACTATATAATATGATTATTAGGTACTTAGACACTTGGGGTTGGGGTTTGAGGCAAGGATTGCACGAGTATCCCCAAAGCCTCAAGCATGTTGCAAGGCATCAACCGGTACGGTGACGTCTTCACCTTCCACTTTGGAACAAATGTGCCCTGTCTTTTTGTTGGTGCAGAACCCTAAACCCAAAACCCTCTCGGGTTTTAGGGACCTATCAGATAAGCGTGGTTCAAAGGGTGGCCTTGATTCAGATTTCTGCAGCCTAGCCACAAACCCAAGCTACCAGCAAACATCCTAAGCATATGGCAGTCTGATGGAGACTTGAAGCAGCCCTTACAAAAAGCCCGTACGCCCCGAGCCCAAAACCCCGCAATCGCGAATCCATGAGCCCTGTAATCCCAAAACCCCAACACTGAGCAATCCATAAGCTGTCAGCCCTGATCCCTGAATTCGCCGGCTTGAGTGTCGACTTGGAGGATCATGGGACTTTGTAAAGAAGGTTGTAAGCACCCTAATTGGAGATATAAGCGTATAACCATGACGATAGTGACCTTGTTTAAAACCTTACTTACTATGTCCTATGATCCGCCAAGTAGACCCTAAACCCATATAGATCACGTTGAGATCACTTTAAGAAGGCCTTTAAGAAACCCTGTAGGAGCTCCCCCATCTTGGCCCAGATCCTCAGTAGACACGGCCTTCAGCTTTGAGGCCTATGGGTAGGCTGCAAAACCCTGAACCCTCAACCCGAAGCCCCAACGCTGAATGCAAGCCCTACTTGGAGGGTCGGGGGACTTAGTAAGTAGGTAGTAAGTAGACTTATAAGTACCCTAGAAGGACCCTAATTGGTGTTATGGTACTTATAAGTCCCCAAAATAACCAGTTACTAAGTCCCCCGACCCTCCAAGTAAGCCCTAAACCCAATAATGAAGCCGAAAACCCTCAGTGCTTCAACCAGCCCTGAACAAGACTTTACTTAGAGGCTCCATATATACTACCATTCTGGAACCAAGTCCCTTAAACCGCAGAACAGTAAGAGTGGTCTTTTGGGACCTGATTCCATAATGGTAGCATATATACGTACCCTTATACCCAAAACCCTCACCCCTTATAGAACTCTTCAAGTGCTCGGATAATTACAGACCATCCATATTATGGTTTCAGGAACCTATTTCCATAATGGTTCCATATGTGCAGCCTCTGGGCTCAGCAACTCCCTACAAAGTTCTAAGCGAACCCTAAATCCACCCTAAGGCCCTAAACCCTAAACCCCTAAAAACCTAAGCCCTAAACCCTAAACCCCTAAAAACGTAAGCCCTAAACCCTAAACCCCTAAAAACCTAAAACCCTAAACCCTAAACCCCTAAACCCTAAAACCCTAAACCCTAAACCCCTGAACCTCTACAAAACCGCCACTCCGAGCTCCCAATTTTAAGCAACTCCTAGCACCGTACAGATCCCTTAAAGGAACCCCTTAGACGAACCCCTACTTGGAGGGTCGGGGGACTTAGCAACTGGTTATTTTAGGGACTGATAAGTACCATAACCCGAATTAGGGTCCTTTTAGGGTACGTATAAGTCTACTTACTACCTACTTACTAAGTCCCCCGACCCTCTGAGGCCTAGGGCTCCTTTAAAGGAGCCCGAAGCCTTAGATCCTAAGCAACTCCCTGCAAAAGCCCTAATCCCACCCTAAAGCCCTAACCACTTAACCCACCCCAAAGCCCTATAACCACTAAACCCCTAAAAACCCTAAACCCTAAACCCCTAAACCGCTAACGCCCTAAGCCCTAAACCTTAAATCTTAAGCAGCTCCCTGCACTTCGAAGGTCTGGCGGAAAGTGCTGTGCAGCGGCTGCGGCCTCGGAGCGTTTGTTGTCCCACTACTTGGAGGGTCGGGGGACTTAGTAAGTAGCTAGTAAGTAGACTTATAAGTACCCTAAAAGGGACCCTAATTGGGGTTATGGTACTTATAAGTCCTTAAAATAACCAGTTACTAAGTCCCATGACCCTCCAAGTACCCGAAGGGTCCAAGTACCTCTCTATAAGGGATCTATCCTTAGGGCTTAGCATAATGGTTCAGTAAACTAGGTCATAGTTGGGTAACACTTTACATTTTATGGGTGCTTGAGCCTAATAACGAATAAGAATGTACATGTTTAATCCTATCCCAACCATGAACGAGCTACTTAGGGCTCAGTATAAGGGTTTGTCGAGATACCACTTGATGCTCATGTAAATGACGCAAAACCGAAGCCTTTGGCTAGCGGTGGCCCAGAGGGCCGTGAGGGCTGAAGCCATGATCGGCAGAAGCCAACTTGACAGTTGTAGGCTAAAGCCATGATCGGCAGAAGCCAACGCAGTACGAGCATAGTGTAGTACTGAGTACACACAGCTTGACACGTGCAGAGCATGTTGCGTTGAAAAGAGCTTTGTGTTAGAGGTTTGAGCCCATGGCACCTCACTTGTTTCTGTGACCTCTGAACTGGTGTTGGATATGGCATCCTCGAGCACAGCTGACAATCCCAATTCGAACGATGATCCAGCTTTGAATCGACAGGTTATGAGTAGCCCAAACGCTACCAACGCGGAGACACCCGCGCAGGGAGCCGGACATCCCATGATGAATGGTGTTGACCCAATTGGGGTTGGGCACCACGACATGGACGGGGAGACGCTACCTCCCACCACTGCAGGTGCATCGGGACGTGCAGGGCCAGAGACGTTCCTTATCTATCGCCAAGGTGAGGATGCTGAACTGGATGCCGTTGCGGGCACTGGAACGCCTAGGAGCCTTGGTCCGAGACTTATGGTTACTGGGGAAGCGAGATCTCTGGATGACCAGGTCCTGAGACAGGAGCAACGCAGGGCCTCTGGGTTATTGGACGGTGTGAGAAGGGCAGTACAATCCCTACCGGCTATGGTGGATGGAGTGGTTGGTGGTGTGACGCCGAACCCCCGGCCTTGGGGATCTCCATCAGCTCTGGATGGCGTGGAGTTTGCATCGGTTAGATCTAACCTGAGCGTGGAGAATGTGAAGCCTCCACCACCTGAAGCTTCGGAGTCGACTGCTCCACTGTTTGATGAAATGACACTTCAACAGCTGAGAGACCTCCAAGCGGGAGCTCCTCACTTGTACTCGCCTTCTCATGGGGCGGTACCGCCTGTCGCAGCGACCTCTACTACATCAAGTGATATCCAGGCGGAAGTGAGGAGGCAGTTGTCGGAAGTGATGGCTGTTCACGACATGGAGACGCGAAGACTGCGAGAGCATATGGATGAGCTGATGGCTGAGAATGCTTCACTGAGACAGAGAGTAGCTGTAGGTATGCATTCAGATGTACAGCCTGTTTCCCAGACCCCGGTAAATCAAGGTGGGATCCCTGGACTTGGGTGGTTTGGCAGAAGCATAGGTTCGTTGATAGGTGGTAACCAGCATGCCAAGGCCTCGCGACCTATGGATTTCAGGTCTCCACCTCCTCCACCTCCACCACCGCCTCCTCCGCAGGTTCCGAGGGTGGACTTGAGTTCGGGTGTTTTGCATCAGATTCAACACCCACCATTGCCCCCAGGCAAGGCACCTTTGTCGGCTGTAAGGGCGGATGAGGGTTTCCCAGCAGGAGTGGATGTCAACCAGGGTACAGGAATGCTTGGGAGTTCTTCGTTGCCGCACTTCGGGACAGATGTTCCTCCTTCTCATGGTGCCGCCAACCAGGCTGCAGGAGTGTCAGTGACGGAGTTGCAAGGACCGCCGGAACTGGTTCCTGGTTCGGAGGGATCGGGTTCTAGACCATCTCCAGAAGTTGATCCGTTGAGTGTGGTTTTAACGGGTATGGCGCAGCTGCAAGGGTTAGTCTCGGAACTTGCCAGCCCTAAGACCCACGATAAGGAGCGACCTGAAGTTATTAAACCGGGAGTTACGGTGTTGCCGGAGCTTCCTCAGCCTGGCCCTGAGTCCTGCCTCCAGTTCGCGGACTGGATCCACAGCTCTAGGCCTCCACTCAGTGACGTTAGCGACACGAGTGAAGAGTTGTGGGAATGCACGTTGCAAGAGGCAGGTGTATGGTATAGTCGATACCTACAAATGGACCCGCTGGGAAGGTTGACCTCTAGGCCTACGCCGTCGGAAAGCCTAAAGAGTCCTAAGTGGGGAAGAGTAGCGAGGAGGATAGAGACTATGATCTTAGCCGCGCTTCCGAGTACTATCAAGGAGGAGGTGAGCGCAGCCCGCGTGAGTGGACTCCTTCCACTGATGTGCAAGTTGTATACTATATACGCCCCGGGAAGCTTAAGCGAGAGAGAAATAGGTCTCAGGAGTATCTCGGACCCACCGGCAGGCACCAATGTGGCCGACACGGTCGATGCTCTACGCAAATGGAGACGCTGGACGGCTCGCATGACAGAGCTCGGCGGAGTGCTTCCCGACGCCGCTCTCCAGGTCAAAGCTCTAAGTAAGATCTGTAGACAAGCCCTGGCCTTGCACCCGGACGTAGCGTTTCGTGTGAACTTGGTAAGACATAATCTGCAGATAGACAGCATGCCGGATGATGTAAAGGTTGGCAAACTTCATGCTCAACTGCTGAGCGAGTTTGAGATGTTGAACCATAAGGGTCAGAAGGATCATGAGAAGGATAAGTCTAAGGAGACCTTGGTTAGTCCTACGCCTCCCAAGGTAAAGGGTCTAGAGATGCAAGAGCAGTCAACTGGAGTTCCACCTCCGCCGAAGGCCCCAAAGGGCCCCAAGGGCCCTCCTCCTAAGACAGCTCCACCTGCAAAGGCAGCGCCACCGGGTGACGGAGTACCCAACGGTAAGCCTCCTTGCACGTTTTACATGAGTCCTTCGGGATGCAAGAAGGGTTCGGACTGTACGTTCGAACACAACTGGAATGCGATTCCAGCCAATGAAAGACCGCAGAGGTGCCACAACTGCGGGGGAAGGGGACACCGTGCCGCGGAGTGTCGCGCGGGCACCAAGGCTGAAGATAAGGGTAACCCTAAGACCAGCCCAAAGGCAAAGGCAATCTCCAAGGCAGCAGCGCCAGGTGCCCCACAGCCTCCGGTCCCTCCATCTAGCAATAATACCTCCCACCAGCAGCAGATTAAGTCTATGCTAGCGGATGCGGCACTGATATTGCAGCAAGCAATGCCACCGCCCCCTGTTCAGGCCACGACGGTCGAGAATTCTACGGCAGCTACCGGAGTGGGGTTGGCCTCTCAAGGAAACACTAGTGTACCGCTTGCAAAGGGGAACACTTCCGATCCGGCTCAGGCTACAACGCAAGGGACCCCGGTGACGTTAGCTTCCTTGAGCGCACAGTTGGAAGGGATAAGGGCAATGGCAAGGGACTTTGAGGTTAAGACAGTCTCGCTAGCTAAAAAGATAACAGAAGATGACAATGAAGATGTGAAGGCCTTACTCGATAGTGGAGCCACGCATGCGGTGATCGGATACTCGGATGATCTGAGAAACCTGGAGCCAGTACCCGTCACGTTGGCAGGTGACTCACGCACAGAATGGTTGAAGACGGCCGGAGGGACTCTGGTGGTCCCTGATGGACCAGGTTCTTCTAAGGAGAGGACTCAGACAATCCTCCCACTAGGTGCGTTAGTGGAATCCTTAGGTTGTACCGTGTCGTGGTCGCGGAAGGCCGGCCTCAGAGTCACTCACCCTGTTCTCGGTCCCCTTAAGACGGGAATTTCTAAGAACACGTGCCCATACATTCAGGAAGCTCAGGCACTCGCACTGATACGGGAACTTGAGGGTGTGCGCCTGAGGAAGTTCGAGGAGAATGTGCAGGACCTGGAGTGTCACCTGCATACGCTCAGTACCCCATTGGACCCTACTGCTGCGGTTCGGGAGTACATTCGGACGGGCGATAGAGCTGATGCTTTGAGGGCCGTGTTTGCTCAACCGTATCTGCGGAACTTGCCAGATGACATGAAGGTTCCCTTGGCTGAGTGCATAGAAGGAACGACTGTAGAGATAGGGAGGAGAATCTTGAAGCGACTGCCTTTGAAAAGGGCTCGACGCAGGAGCTTATTAGCCTCCACGAGGTGGGTAGTCCAACTCTGCTCGGGCGGTGAGATATTGAATGATCCCTTGAAGCAGTGGGCACAGGAGCACGGGTGTGAGTTGCTGCAAGTAGACGTTCTAGCGCCGGGGGGTAAGGGTTGGGACCTATCCAAGAGTGCTGGTGCGTGGTCAGCTTTGATGTGGGCTGCTGCCTCAGGAAGGGTTGCGGGCGTATTATCAGCTCCTCCCAAGAATGCCTTCCAGAACTCGTCCCCATTGGCAGTTCAGGACATGTTTCTTTGGACCGTGGCGTCCATTGCCAAGGGAAGGGGCATTCCATTCTTCAGGGGCTCCAACTTACCGGTAGGAGAAGAAGGCTTGAGGCGTGCTTGGGAGGTATGGTCTAGAATGGATAACATCCCGATGTGCAGCCCGGGTGATGAGTTTATCCAGTTGGTGCCAACGTCCGTGATCACCAACTTAGAGCTGCACCACCTTGCCAGGAAGCCAATTGAGTATATGGCCAATGGTGCCCAGTCTCAGGTCGCCAAATCCCAGACCAGATGGTCAAGGCGCCTCTGCCACGAGCTCGTTAGTGCCTTGAAGGGTCAGGTCCCGACTCCCACATGCGAAGAGCTTGATAGAGTCATCTCCGCAGGCTTGGCTGAAGGTCGATCCTCCAAGCAAGAATTCTCTTCGGACAGTGATACCAAAGGGAATCGACCTAACGCCGAGGATGTTGAGGTTGGGAATCAACCAGCAATCAATGAGCTTAAGCCTGATGAACGCGAAGCGTGGCGTGCCCATATCGCGAACGGGCATCTCCCTTACCGTAGGGATT